TTAAGAGCACTGACTGTTCTTCCAGAGGTTCTGAGTTCAATTCCCAGCAACCACATGGTGGCTCACAACCATCTGTAATGTGATCTGGTGTCCTCTTCTAGCACGAACTGCATACATGATAAATAAATAAATAAATAAATAAATAGATCTTAAAAAAAAAAAGAAAACTCACATGCACAGCAACTTATGATTCAGGACATCCAGCCTGAGTGTGAATTTTATTGTTAGTTTTTTTATTTATTTATTGCAGGACTGGTAATGGGACTCAGGAGCTGGAGCACATTAGGCAAGTGTTCTCTCACCAAGCAACACCCTCAGCTCTGAATCTGACAGTTGGTTAGGGAAACTTTTATGACACATTTTTAAATAAAATTCAGATGATCTTTCCCTGAGAACTCAAGCTTCCATCCTGAGATGTGGGAGTGGCTCTTTCTATGACAAGACTGTCTGAAGAGAAGGTTAGTATGAACCATAAACACATATATGCTCATTTTTGTCTGTACAGAGTGCACAGCCAAGCAACTGTGAGAATGGAATGAGATAGCAAACCTTTGAAATTAGTCACCCACAAAAACTTAAATGCTAGCTTCAGGGCATGCTCCAAAGCTATACAGAGAAACCATGTCTCGAAAGAAAGAAAGAAAAAAAGGCTATTTAAAATACATAAAACCAGAATGCTAACCATTTTTAAAAGAAGTACAGCTTAAAACCTAGCAACTAAAATAAAAATAAATTGGCCAGACATGATGACACACACTTTTAATTCCAGAATTCAAGAAGCAGAGATGTGTATCTCTCAAATCTGAAGATACGTGGCTATACACAGTGAGCTCTAGGCCAACTAGGGCTACATAGTAAGAGCCTACCTCAAAATATAAAAGCAAGGTATTGGAGAAAAGGCTTTATGGTTAACAGTACTTGTTGCTCTAGCAGAGGACCATGGTTCAACTCCCAGAACCTTCAGGGCAGCTAATAACTGTCTGTAACTCCAGTTCCAAAGGATACATTGCCTCCATAAGCAATGAACATATGTAGTGCCCAGATATATATGCAGGCAAAACATTCATACACATGAATAAAATAAACTTAAAAATTAATAATTTTGACCTGGGTTCTATTCCCAGCACCAACATGGCAGCTCACACTTGCCTGTAACTCCAGTTCCAGGGGATCTGACATCCTTACACTAATGCACATAAAACAAGTTAAAATAAAGTATTTTAATAAAAAAATTAATAATTTCCTTCACTCACTTCCAACCTTATAATTAACATATCAAGTCCATCCAGTTATTTCTGCTTCTTCAGTGATTTTTCTTCAGTTCTTCGCCTTTGATTTTACTATCCTTTATTTAATTCCAAATTAAAAAATTAGAAGCAAACATATTTCTTGCTTTGCGTTGGCATACTACTAGGGCCTGGAATTAACAAAGACAAGTCTTTGGCCCTGAATTTTCTGCCTAGACAGAAATCCACACAATCAGGCAGCCGAGGCACTTGTGCTCCACTGTCTTCTTTACTCTTTTAATATTTCCCAGAGTTAACAGCACAGTCAAGTACAAAAGCCTTGTGACCTGATATCACTGGGGGAGGGGGGCTGCAATCTTTTGATTGGCTGATTTTTGTTTGAGATAGAGTTTCTCTGTGTAGCCTTGGTTGTCCTGGAATTCATCTGTAGAGCAGGCTGGCCTCGAACTCAGATATTCACCTGCCTCTGCCTCCGAAGTGCTGAGGTAGAAATTAAAGGCATGCACCATCACTGCCTAGCTGATTGGCTAATTTTTTTTTTAAGGATTTTAACAGTGTTCCACGTGTATGCTTGCTCACCAGAAGAGGGCACCAAGTCTCATTATAGATGGTAGTAAGCCACCATGTGGTTGCTGGGAATTGAACTCAGGACCTCTGGAAGAGCAGCCAGTGTTAACCTCTGAACCATCTCTCCAGCCCCTGGTTGGCTAATTTTTAACAGGGTCTTTCAGGGCTGGTTTTACAGCCTAGGCTGATTCTCTTGACTCAGCTTCCTGAATGGTTTAGGACATGTATTTATAAATATTCACCAGATGTGTTTTGGGGATGGCAAGTCCTGCAGACTCTAACCCTCTCAGAATTCCTGTCACAAGTTAGAGATCAAGGTCCCAGTAGAGGGAGGGGCTGCAAGCCAAGGAGGCCTGCTGTGACCACAGAACCCATAGTAGACTACTCTGATTTGCAGATGAGGAGGCAAAAGGCCTCCACGGTTGTTGTTTTGTGCTTGGGATTCCATTCCTTCAGACCCAGCTTTTTTCTCCCCACATGGAGCCAAGGTTGCCTGAGACAACCACATCCCAGAACAAGGTTTCCAGCAACAGCAAAGTATAGCACATGTGCAAGCCCTGTGGAGCCCAGCACCGTTAGGCCGTGAAACCCCTAACTCTTAACAGTCTATGTAAATACAGTACACACAGGTCCTCACACACTGGCATTTACATAAGCACATAAAAGGCATATATATGCCTAACATACACACATTATCGCACACAGGCATCCATACCATCACATGCATTCACATGTACACACGTGGACACTCATACACATGCACACATGAGGCATTCAATCCTGTACTTGTACACGCAGTACTCATAGACATGTCTATGCGTATTTGTACATGCAGGCACTCATGCATATACTTCTAGACACATACAATCCCACATGTATACAGGTGACAAACCATGAATGCATAAGACACACCAGGGACTCACATGTGTGCATGTTCTTCTTAGGGTACACTCTTGAGGCTACATGTAAGAATGTAGACTGTACTACCATATATAACTAGAATTTAGGTAAGGATACTATGGGACATATAGAACTAGAACTTAAGCAAGGATATTATGGGTCTGGGTGGGGACAAACAGATATACTCCTGTAACAATAATTCTTTCCCGCCAGCCTGGTCCCACAGCCATGTCAGCCCCAAATGAACACATAGACACTATATTAACTATTAAACTATTGGCCAATTACTAGGGCTTTCATTATTGGCTAGCTCTGTCTTAATTATTAACCCATTTCTGTCAAGCTATGTTTTGCCACGAGGCTGTGGCTTACCCAGTAATGCCCGGCATGGTGTTACTTCTCCAGCAGCATTGTGGCTGTCTCCTATCTTTCCCAGAATTCTCCTCTTCCTAGTCCTGGGTGTCTTGCTGCCCTATTTGCCACTAGTCACACAGTGTTTCATTCATCAACCAAAAAGAAAACATATATACAGTAGGATTTCCCCCATCTCACTCCTCCCCTGAGTCTGAGGTTTTGTGTTTTGTTCTTTTTGCTTTGTTTTTGAGACAGAGCCTTGCTGTATAACTCAGACTGGAAACTCAATTCTCCTGCCTCTGTCTCTGCCTCCTGAATGTTAAGATTATAGGCTTGAGTTACCATGAGCAGCCTGGAGCTGTTTTAAACAGGACAACTACCACCAAGAGATGCAAATATAAATAAGGTAAAAGTCCATGAAAAGGACCCTTATTCATAGTTAGCTGCAGACGAATGCAGAATGCTAGCTTACTCCATTCCAGCTGGGAGTACATACACATTGAGTTAGGACTCAGATTCTTCTCTGTGTGGACTCTGGAATTGCTGAAGGTGCCATGACAGAGTAGCTGAATTCTCAAGCATGGAATCTGTAGTTAAGAAGGGCCCAATGTTTTGCCATCAACCTAAGAGACATTTACAGATGCTGACTAGATAAAAACCTGTCTTGGAAAGACAGCTGACTACTGACTACGACTGCTAAGTGGCTATCCAGTCACTGGCTACTATTGGAGTGATCAGATGTCATTATGGCACTCATAGCCATCTGAGCGCAAGCAGAGTGAGCAATTTGAGTTCCATTCAACAGCGCTCCTAGGCATGGCCTGCAATCTTGCTTCAGCTCACTGGAAATTAGTATTCTTACAGCAAAATAAGCCTTCACCTTGGAGCTCATACAAACAATTTAGCACAACAGACCTGTTCATAGCTTGTGCCCAAGAGCCACAGACTGGGGGGGGAGGGGGCTGTGTGGTAAAGATGAGGTCAGTTGGCACAAAGATGCATTTTAAGAAATTCATGGGAAGCTGGGTGTTGGTGGCACATGCCTTTAGTCCCAGCACTCAGGAGACAGAGGCAGGCAGATCTCTGTGAGTTCGAGACTAGCCTGGTCTACAAGAGCTAGTTCCAAGACAGCCTCCAAAGTCACAGAGAAACCCTGCCTCAACCACTCTACAGAAGGGAACTCATGCCTGGTACCTTAAACTCCATCAAGAACCTGTGGCTGGGAGGTCATAGGTTCAAAAAGAAGAACCTGCCACTATCAGATTGCTTACACAGACATAGTATGTAGTATCAAGTCAAACTGTCTTCTAAGTATTTATACCCACAGATTAGTGTAGCTCTTATCTTCATCAGAGTGGACAGCAGTATTCACAGAGACTCACAACTGGTCAAGTGCAGAGAAGTACACCAGTAACTGTAGCCCTGAATGGAATGTATCCACACCACACTCTTTCTTCATCAGATCTCAGGGAATAACGTTCATGAGAGGGGTGAAAGGACTGTAAGAGCCAGAGGTCAGGAAAGACTGGAACAAAACCATGTAATGGACATGACAGGTCACTGCCCTCATGAACCCACAGCAGCTGGCTGCCTGCACAAGATGATCAAGCCAGTCACCATCCCAGCATGGACGGAGGAGTCTCACATGGCCCCACCCATGCTAGCCAAGGAGATATTGGTGACTGATGGTTGCTGGGGTTGGGGGGGGGGGGAGAAGAGGCAGTTTTCATATATATCTTATTTAAGATTTAGGGGCAGCACAGGTGTAGCCCCTGGTAGGCTGCCTGTGCTCCAGTGACAGTCCTACACCCCTAGACAGATGGGCAGCACTAATTAGATTTGGTGAGACTTAGGGGGCAGGAATCCTAGAATGGTCAGAAGGGAGACAAGAGAAGTAGATATAATCAAAATATATTGTACATATGCATGAAATTCTCCAAGAATACATATAAACTAGTTTATTAAAAGAGAAGTCCTCCAGGGACCAAGCACTGATAACTGGCTGTGGAGGTCTATAGATGTAGCCTATGCATTCTGTGCTTAACTCTCCTGCCACTGAGGCCCGGCGGCCTGTGCAGCAACTATGAGGAGGTAAGAAGTACCATATTTATGTCTCCCAGGGATGACATTTATTTTTTAGTTACACATGAGTTTTGGAAAAAAACCAGTGAGTTGGGACAGGAAATTGTACAGCTAGCTGAATGATAAATAGCCTGAGGACGGCCTCCACCAAGAGTTCTGCCTTCATCAACTGTCTCTGAAGTGCAGACCATGAACTCTGCAGTCTGACCACAGGCAGGGACAGGCAGCACGAGGCCTCACCCCTACCTCTGTTCTCTTTTGCCACAGGGCCCCTGCTGTACCCCATCACCTCTGGCCTCTGCTTCCCAGTCCTCTTCTGCCTCATGAGCCTGGCATCCATACTCTGTGGTGTTGTCCTCTTCCTCCTCGTCCTCAGCCTCCTCACCCAAAAGGAAGCTTCTTGGGGAAGTGTCCTGGTGCCGGCGGGATGATGTCTTCTTTCTCCTTCTCAGCAAATGAGTCAGGTCAGGGACCAGCTCCTGCCCTGATGGCTGTGCCAGGTTCATGCACTGGAGCCCTTTCTCCTTCTTGCGTTTATACTCCATTATTTGCTTATTCAGGGCCTCATGGTCAATCCCACACAAATTTGGGTGTGTGGCTGGTTCTTGGGCATCATGTGATGACAGAGCTTCAGGGTTCCTGGGGGGGGGGGGGAGAAGAGCCTTCACAAAGAGCCCAAATCACACAAAGTCCAACCAGGGAGTGTGGACTAAAGCATCTACACAGGAAACTTGTCACGTCTCCTCATACTTCTCAACTTCACATTCTGAGGATGACGGGGTTGTAGAACGGTGATCCTGCTTTAGGTTCTCTCAAGGCTGACACACTGGCTGGCATGGTCAATGTGAGCATCCCCAGCTTTCCTCACCTGGGCACGGGAGCGTACGGGTTGCCACCCAGAGCTATGCAGACATGTGCTGTACCCCAGGGCAGGTACCACGGTGGCAACGTGGGCTAGTGGAGGCACAGACAGGGTGGCTGCTGTAGCCTGAGCATCTGTGACAGGGAACAGAAAGTTGTCTACATGCCTCACCTCAAACAATCCAGTGCCAAGCCATCCCTTTCATCTGGGGGTCCAAAGTCAGCCACTGCTAGTAACCGGTCTACCTGAAAAGAAAGCATGGGGATGTCAGGGACAGCTCTTGCCCTCTGCTTCCAAGGAACAGGACCACAACCTCTCCCAGGCTTCAGTTAACGCCACTGCAGAGACTTCTCAATGTAGTGATACGATAGACGTCCATGATTCACACCCCTCGCTGGTATTCTAACCTGTCATGACTTCCCCAACAACTGAGGCTTCTAGAACTTGTAACATTAAGCAAGTCTATGAGGAAAATAACACTGGAAGAATTGTGTAACTATTATTTGCTGGTTTCTAAAGTAGTTTTGGAAAACGATTCCATTTTGCCACAGAATTTGTGTTTGGGAAAGGGAAGGTTGAAGGACTGGCAGAACAGTCACAGGCACAGGGGCCCACTCTGTGGGCATGGAGAGGCCTGAACAAAAAGCAGCAGCACTCGGGAGGCAGAGGCAGAGGCAGGCAGATCTCTGTAAGTTTAAGGCCAGCCTGGTCTACAGAGCAAGTTCTAGGCCAACCAACTGAGGCTACAAAATGACTCTGCCTTAAAAAAAAAAAAAAATTAAAAAGTAAATTAACTGAAACTTAAAATTTTACTCACTGAAGTTTCTTAAGAATAAAAAAAGCATAAAAGTAAAGTATAAAAAGTAACTATTTAGGCAGGGGAGGTGGCTCAGTAGGAAAAGACACTTGCAGTCAAGCCTGGTGACCTGAGTAGGATCCTTAGGACAGACGGGGTAGAAGGTTGTCCTCTGACCGCCACACCCACTGGCTGTCGAGTTTTCTATCAACTTGGCGTAAGCTAGAGTCATCTGGTAAGAGGAAACCCCAACTAAGAAAATGCATTTTCTGGCCTGAGGACAAGCCTGTAGAGCATTTTCTTAATCAGATTGATGTGGGGAGTGCCTAACCCATTGTGGCTAGCACCATCCTTGGGTAGAGGTCCTCTGGTGTATCAGGAAGCAGGCTGAGCAAGCCATGAGGAGCAAGGTGGTAAGTAACACTGCTACATGGTCCCTGTCTCCAGGTTACTGTCCTGTTTGGATTCCTGCCATCAATTCCCTCAGTGATGGACTGTGATACAGAACTGTGAGCTGAAATAAACCCTTTCCTCCCCAAGTTGCCTTTGGTCATGGTGTTTTATCATATCATCATATCATAGCATATGTTTTATCATAACCATAGAAACTCTAACTAAGATACCCACACATTCAAAAGTGAAAAAATATGGCTGTCTGGAGAAATGGCTCAGTCGTTGGGAACACTGGTTACTCTTCCAAAGAATCTGGGTTCAATTCCAGTACCTACATACTAGTTCCTGGAATTAAATGCCCTTTTCTGGCCTCAGAGGGTAATATAGGCATGTGATACAGTCATACATAGAGGCAAAACATCCATACACATAACATTTTTAAAAATCTAATAAACATCAGGGCCTTTAATCTCCTCTTGGGAGACAGAGGCAGGTGGATCTCTGTGAATTCAAGACCAGCATGGTCTACAGAGCTGGTTCCAGGACAGCCAAGTTCAAGAGAGAGAAACTCTGTCTTGAAAAACAAAACAAACAAAACTAATAAATAAATAAAGGCTCATTCTGATGTACATGAGATTTAAAAAGAAAAACAAACAAAAAAGCTAATTATTTAAAAAAGCTCACCTCAGCCAGAAGTATGTCTTTTTTGTCTTGAATAAACACTATGGGTGGAACATTTCTCAGGGTCTGCTGAGACATGAGAAGGTGCCTGAGGAGAGAGCACACATAGTGGAGAGGAGGCAAACACAAACTACATCAAATTCACCAAATGACCAGGCTGTAAATGGAGGCAGGAAGGGAAAGGGAGGGAAGGGAAAGAGAGGGGGAGGAGAGGGAAGGGGAGGTAAAGGAGGCAGAGAATCAAAGCCTCGGAGAAGCCTCTTCAAACTGCCTCATCACTAAAGAGTATAAGATGCCCCTTACCACAGCTCCTCTCCACTCTTCCCAATGGACAGCTGTCTAGATGGAGTGCCACCGCTAACTATGGACTTACAGCATCCTGTACTCGGTAGATTCTCCATGAAAGGACTCCAACCTGACGCCTAGCATGCATGCTAGGATTGAAAGATTTTCATACAGCTCAGTAATGTGATACAGACCAGCCAAATGAGGTTCAGACCCTGTAATCCCTGGAAACTTTGACACCAAATTCCGAGCAATTGCAATAGTCTCAAAGAGGCATTCAACTCGGCTAACTTTCTGATTGCCCCCAACCAAAATCACACTGGTTTAACAGAGACAATGGGTTCAATCCTTCTCTGATAACTGCAGATACTCTGTGGAAGTGGATGCCCATTGACCCTTGCAGAGAACACAAGACCGTACACAGACAGACATGCTGGAGACATGTGGGAGGCATCCAGCTCTGAGATGTGGTGCTAGCTGGATTTCTGCCTTTTTTTTTTTTTTTTTTAACTTGAATAAATTAAGTGCATGGGCAGGTTTTGTGTCAACTTGACACAAGCTAGAGTCACCAGAGAGGAAGGAGCCTCAGTTGAGGAAATGACGCCATGAGCTCCAACTGTAAGACATTTTCACAATTAGTGATCAGTGGGGCAGGGCCCAGCCCATGGTGGGTGGTGCCATCCTTAGGCTGTTGGTTTTGGGCTCTATAAGACAGCAGGCTGAGCAAACCATAGAGAGCAAGCTAGTAAGCAGCACCCCTCCATGGTCTCTGCATCAGTTCCTGCCTCCAGGTTTCAGCCCTGCTTCAGTTCCTGGCCTGACTTCCCTCAATAATGAATATCAATGTGGAAGTGTAAGCCAAATAAATCCTTTTCTCCCCGGTTTGCCTTTTGGTCATGGTGTTTCATCACAGCAACTCCTAACTAAGACACTGAGTAACTTCACTATGTCCAAGCAGCTCATCAACCTGCAAAATTCTGGATCCAGGATTCCTTACTATCTTTTTCTTAAGAAGTTATTGAGAATGGCCAACAACTTTCTTTTCTTTTCTTTTTCGAGACAGGGTTTCTCTATGTAGCCCTGGCTGTCCTGAACTCCCTCTGTAGACTAGGCTGGCCTCAAACTCACAGAGATCCACCTGCCTCTGCCTCCTGAGTGCTGGGATTAAAGGTGTGTGCCACCACTGCCAGACCAACAACTTTTTTTTAATGTTGTTCTATTAATGTTTACTAGAAATTAAATCTGAGAAACTTCAAAATGGCATATTTTAAAGGTCATTTAAAGCAATAAACCTATTAACTACTGGCCAAACATAAAAAATGGCCTTTTACAGAAGTACTGGCAGCAGGAGCTTTGTGTGTGTGTGTGTGTGTGTGTAGAATACCCTAGAAGGCTCTGCCTCAGCAGATATCAGAGACCTCTCAGTGTTTGCCATCAAGGTCCAATTTTTAAAATAGTGTATTTTTACTTTTCCACTTCTTCATCCAGGCTACTTTTAGGTCAACGAGGCACTTTGGAGACATGGGCAGTAAGCCTGGGCAGCAGTACAATGAGGAGCCAGCTTTAGCATAGTGAGGCAGACGGAACGTCCTAGTATTGCCAACATAGTTCTTGCCTCATGGAGCCCTGAAAGGACCTAGGGCTAGGGAGCCCTACAAAACTGTTGAGAAATCTGATTAGGTCTTATAAGAAAATGTAACCTATACTCTAAAATTAAGGTAACACTTCCAAGATTTTCCCTAAAAGCAAAAGTCCTCAATGAGAACTTTTAAAAGTTTACCTACAGACAGACAAGGCCTTAAGGTTCCAGCAGAAGGCAGGACTTGTAGAAAGCAAACACCATCCATCACCTTATGTAGGCAGCACTCCTCTGCAGGACAGCCTCCGTGTGCCTGTTCTGGTCTGCAGAGACACCTATCTTCCAGTACACTCGGCAGGCGGAGAAGTCTGAAGTCACAGAGACCTGAGGTGCACCCCAACTGCAAATTACTTTAGGTTTACAGTCTTCCCAGTCCACACAGTAAGCTGCAGTGAAGAACAACAGCTTCTTTTGTCTCTTACACCCAGAAGATTATTTGGTAGGGAATAGGGTCACAGCACCCAAGCTCGCCGGGCAGTGGTGGCGCACGTCTTTAGTCCCAGCACTCAGGAGGCAGACGGATCTCTGTGAGTTCGAGACCAGCCTGGTCTACAAGAGCTAGTTCCAGGACAGCCTCCAAAGCCACAGAGAAACCCTGTTTCAAAAAACCAAAACCAAAAAAAAAAAAAAAAAAAAAAAAAAAAAACCACACAAAAAAAACAAGACACCCAAGCTCACTCCCATGTACCTCACAGCACTGCTACATTGTAATCTCTCCAGATGTAGGGAATTGGAAATGACCAATTGCCCCCTATTTCATCAACTCAGCCCCTTCTAGGAAAGATGGAGGACCCCTCATTATCTTTATGAAAACCAAGACAGTGTACACCTCACTACGTGCCTAAACTTCTTCTAGTGCTTTGTCTCATCACGCTGGCTGTTGCCAAGTCGCCACAGGGCCCTCACCCAAGCAGAGAAAAGGCTCTGCCTCTTCACCTTGTCCCATGACTTAAGTCAGACTCAGCACCGCCTCTCAGCCCCAAACCAAGACCTCAGGTATGACGACAGGTGCAGATAAATCTAAGCCCGGGCCCTACTGTCCCCAACCCTGACCTGGACTCACCTTGGAGAGCTCCACATTCAGGTCATAGACCTCCTGGCTCACTGCAGGAGTACACAGCAATTCTGTCAATGCTTTGTAGAGAAGGCCATTCAGGACTCTGAGGCGTACAGTGTCTTCCTTCCTGGTCTTCTTTAAGGTACTTTTCATGAGGAACTCAAACTTGGATGGCTTGTGAGTCAAATGAGACCCGAGGGACGGACCTTCATACCAGAATTTCTTTCTATAGCAAGAAAACAAAATTTAGATGGTGGGTGTTGGAGAAATGGCTCAGCAGTTAAGAGCATTAGTTACTCTTTCGGAGAACCTGGGTTCAGGTCCCAGTACCCACATGGCATCTCACAATCACTGTTCCCACGAAATCAGACACCCTCTTCAGACCTCCACAGATACCAGGCATGCACATGATACACATAACTTATGTGCTGACAAACACATATAATAAATGATTTTTGTTTGGTTAGTTGGTTTTCTGGCCTCTAACTCACAGAGATCACCTGCCTCTGCCACTAAGTGTGGGATTAAAGGTGTGACCAAATCTTTAAAACTCATATACATAGATATGTATGTGAGTGGTGGCACACACCTTTAAACTCAGCACTAGAGAGAGGCAGGTGGATCTCTGTGAGTTTGAGGCCAGCATGGTCTACAGAGTGAGTTCCAGGACAGCCAGGGCTACATGAAAATACCTTGTCTTGAAAAACCATATACACGTGTGCAAGCACTAATGCGCGCGCGCGCGCGCGCGCGCGCGCGCGCGCGCGCGCGCGCGCGCGCGCGCGCGCGCGCGCGCGCGCGCGCGCGCGCGCGCGCGCGCGCGCGCACACACACACAACAAACTTCATATACATAAGTCTTTAAAAGGGGGTCTCCTTTTTAAAAATTTATATGGTATAGTTATGAAAGTTAAGCAAAGAATTGCATGTACTACTAGGTCAAAAGGCTATGACACTTCAAGTGTAGCGTGCTTCCATGGGACATCGACAGTGTATGATAACCTAAAGACCACTGAAGTTTAATGGAAAACAATGTGGCTGTGTGGATAGGTCAGAAAACAGTTTTAACACAACCCTGTAATTTTGACTCTTGCCTATCTACAGTGAGAAGATGGAAGGGCCTTGAGGTTTTATCTCCAAATTTCATGAAAGCACTATGCCTCATTGATCACTCATGAAGATAAAGGTTGACGGTTCTGAAGCATTCCACTGAACAGTCAGGGAATCGAGGGAGGCCTCACTGCTCACTGTTGGGACAGGAGGGAGTTCCAGGATGGTAGGGCAAGAGGGCAAATCTCCAGATAAGCACAAAATGCCTACAAGTAGAGGGACCAAAGGCCAGATGTACCAGTAAAAGTATGAGCACACCCTGCTCCCAGACCACATTTTCCAGCACGGTAACCTGGGCTCCTCATAAGAATGGCTGATTCTTGGAGGTGGGGCTGGGAGGGGGGGGCATATGCAAGAATAACTCAAGACATCTTGAAGTGACACCAAGCAAACATATGGGATATGCCAAGGGAACAAAGGGGTTGATGTCCAAAGATGGAACACTTGGAGCAAAATAAACTAACAGTTGATAACCACTAGTCCATACTGACAAATGAATTAACAAATGAAGGGGCACATCTTCCACAAAGAATTCCAAATAATCCATCATCATAACTCATCACCCCTTAAGTCAGGAGCTACATACAGCAACTTCCAAAAAATGATAAAAAGGGACACCAACACCCAGGGCAGTGGTAAGCACAATGAATAGATATGCCCTTGATAAAATGGAGTTTTTCCTCTGCTACTTTTCCCCCAACTCCACAACTGACATATAGTCACGAAGAAAACATCAAATCCCAGTGGTGTGAAACTTCCAACCAGGATTTCCCAAAACTGTTACAGCTGTCCATCAAACAGGGAAAGACTAAACATGTCAGCCTAGCTATTGTGTCTGAATAGGAACGGACATTAAGGATACCACATTAAGTTCTGTTAGAGAATCTGAGGTCAGTCTCAGAACTATGCACTTCTTCAGTAAGCCTAAAACCAACTGTAACATCATTTGTTAAAACAACCCCCGCCCCCAAATATAAACTGGCTAACCACACTTAGTAGACTCTAAGAGGCTGTGGAAATCGAAGTATTTTTTTTTTCTTGTTTTGTTTTGTTTTTAGAGACAGAGCTTCTCTGCTTAGACCTGGCTATCCTGGAACCCATGCTGTAGACCAAGGGTGGCCATGAATTCAGAGATCCCCCTGCCTCTGCCTCCCTGGTCCTAGCATTAAAAGGCGTGCGACGCCACTGCCCAGCGAAATCAAAGTATCGTATCATATATTTATTACTAAAAATATCTAATTACGACAAATTTTATGCAGTGTAAAGTTGCAGGAGACTTGACACCGTATAAAAAGAATGTGTAGTGGGAAGGCGGAACTTGTGAAAGGTCAAACTGCGGGCGATCTGCCGATAATCATCTTCTAACACGAATATAGCATTTCCCCGCTCCCCACAGACATCTGTCCCCACGGTCCCAACCCAGATGTCCCCTCGTGGACGTCTGTCCCCTCAAGAAACCGCCTCCGTCCAACCGTGCACCAGGTGACCGGGCCCGCAGCGGACCCTGGCCGGTGCATACCTGGTTTTCGAGGCAAATTTCTTGAGTAAGTTCTTGCTCCCGTGGGAAGCAACAGAGGTGTGCAGGGCCTGCGCGCGGCCGGGAAAAAAAGCGGCCCCATGGCCGCCCCGAAGGGCCTGCAG